GATGCAGCACGCCGTGGAGTCACCATGTGTTCTGCCCTACCACCTACCTCGTCTCTTGCCTGCACCCTATACTGGCGCCAGGTCCCTCCACATAGCGACCAGAGGAACTCCCTTCCTTTTGTCTCCCACTTCATCCCTCTTGCCTCCGCCCTCTACTTCTACCCCGTCTACACTGCCACAACCCCGTCCCTGCTGCATCCTCCAGCCCCTTGACATCCACATGGGGGTTCCACGTAGCCGATGCAGCACACCGTGGAGTCACCATGCCCTCTGTCTGCCCCACACCCTTTAATATCTCTAACGCTTACCCCATCCCTGCCCCCTCCTCACATTGGGGATTCCACGTAGCCGATGCAGCACGCCGTGGAGTCACCATGTGTTCTGCCCTACCACCTTCTCTTGCCTGCACCCTATACTGGCGCCATGTCCCACTGCCACCCCGAGTAAACCTTAGGGTCTCCGTTCCTTGTGTCTCCCACTTCATCCCTCTTGCCTGCACCCTCTACTTCCACCCCGTCTACACTGCCATGGCCCCGTCCCTGCTGCGTCCTCCAGCCCCTTAACATCCACATGGGGGTTCCACGTAGCCGATGCAGCACACCGTGGAGTCACCATGCCCTCTGTCTGCCCCACCCCCTTTAATATCTCTAACGCTTACCCCATCCCTGCCCCCCCTCACATTGGGGATTCCACGTAGCCGATGCAGCACGCCTGCCCTACCACCTACTTCATCTCTTGCCTGCGCCCTATACTGGCACCATGTCCCACTGCCACCCCGAGTAAACCTCCACACAGGGACCATAGGGACTCCGTTCCTGTGTCTCCCACTTCATCCCTCTTGCCTGCACCCTCTACCTCCACCCCGTCTACACTGCCATGGCCCCGTCCCTGCGTCCTCCAGCCCCTTAACATCCACATGGGGGTTCCACGTAGCCGATGCAGCACACCGTGGAGTCACCATGCCCTCTGTCTGCCCCACCCCCTTTAATATCTCTAACGCTTACCCCCTCCCTGCCCCCTCCTCTCCACGTAGCCGATGCAGCACCCCCTCCTGCCCCCTCCTCACATTGGGGATTCCACATAGCCGGTGCAGCACGCCGCGGTGTCCCCATGTGTTCTGCGCTACCACCCACGCGTCACCATGCCTTCTGTCCGCCCCACACCTCTTTTGTCTCCCTTCCTGGGGTCGGCGGCACTGGGCGGCAGCCCTTAAATAAACCAACGTTTTACCAACGGGATTCAACAGGTAATCCAGGTAATGATATACTGTATATATATATATATTTACGTGAAAAAACGCAATCTTTCTCGACTGCTGGCTGTTGGGGCACCGAGAATCACTTCTAGTGTCTTCAATTCACGGCACAGTTGCCGGGAGGCAACACCACAGGAAAGTGCAAAGATCTGTTTACAGTATATTGAGTGGTTCCGACTGGTCTTCATATACCCTTATACAGTAGATCCATTGGTATCCGGTGTGTGTGTGCTTTGAATTAGGGAGACCTCCGTTGGAACCCCCTGGAGAGAGGAAAATAGACCAAACCATTGATTGGGGTCCCCCGATCAAAATGCACAAGGTCCGTATGTTTCCTGTACATGGTCCTGCCCCATCCATGCGTGAGACCAGTCGCTCTGAGGGCTCACAGTCTGGACCATCCGAGCTGATGCCAATGGCTTCCATGTGATCATCAACCTCGTCACGCAAAAAAGACCCAGGTCGGGTCTAATGACACGAGAGGGTTTTGGATTATTGGGGACATACAAGATCATACAAGCCTTAGTTGGAATCTTTCTGGATCATTTGTGGACCATTGGACCATGTGTTTGATGTTTCTTGATTCAGGGCGCATGCATGCCTGCAAATCACTCCAACTATGACGTACTATATATATATATATCTCCAACTTGACCTATCCGCAAAGCATGCCTGGCACACCATCAAACAGCACGTGACATCTTTTCATCCGAAATCAAGAGCAACACGTCAATCCTGTCCTGCCGGTCGAACACGACTGCGTCTTGCACGACTTCATTTGGCAGATTGAGGACTTCGGTCAGAAGGCTTCACCCCCAAAAGTCGACCCGCCTCGATTTGGGAGGAACATCGGCTGCCCCGAGGAATTCATTCGCCCAAGCAGCCGATTCCAAACCAATGCCATGCTCCATGCGATCCAACCGGCCGGCTTTCACCACTGGAGCTGCCAATTGCCACCAGCGCCGATATTCATCCGCACGCGCAGCCATGTTCCTGGCTCTGACGACGCTCAAAGCACGCGAGACTTTTCACAGGGATCGGACATGCTTAATGCAAGCATCAAAGAAGCGTGGGATATGTGGGTCTCTGCGCCACCGCCGCAATCATTTGCGGGATCATGCTGCATACATCCAAAAAGCCTCCATCTAGAAGTTGCTTTGCAAGAGCGTACGTGCCCCTGGGACCCTTTCAAGATGCGAAGATGCATGACCTCAACAAGTCCATACAAAACCCATCCACCTTTCTTGAGAAGAGCAGCTGAAAATTTGCTGATGTCCAGCGATAATCTTCCACAAAAAAGGGCATATACCTCAGAGGGGGTGTATCCCAAAAAATGGGCAGCATCAGCAGCTCGCAAATCTTTGCAAACAGAATCACTCACAGAATTGCCACAAAAAATAGCAGTCAAGTACGAACTAAAAAGAAAGGAGAACCTCAACTCGAGACTGCCAAGTAAACACACACACACAAGCACATACACAGCATGTGACTAGGTCTCCTGGCAAACATCTAGAGGCCTAACCACGTGAAATTGCATTTATGAAAACCTATATTAATAGCGCTCGGGCTGGGGCTCACTAACATGGAAGTGGAAAACACCCACCTTCCAAGAAGCAATTGTCCGCTTCCATGCTAGTGAGTCAGAATGTATGTTATGTTTCTACGTATATTATGCTTCAGTTATCAGGTACCTTGGCATTGTTTAGCCTTAGCCTCCAACTGCCAAGCTGCTTGGCCTTGAATTCTTCTAGAACCTGAGGGGTGGGGAGGCAAATCTGTGATGGAGTGTGAGTGATGGTCCTATTCCAAGGGAAGAAAGTTCTAAAAGCAATGGCTCATGACGTATAGCGTGGACATGTGCTACAGCAGTCGAAACACCTCTGCCCAGAACTGTTGCACGCAGCGTGCTTTTTTCCAAAAGATTCCGCCTGGCTCTGCCCAGCTTCCAGTTGCCCTCGGTTCCTTTGAATAAGATCCAAGTACTTCTGAGTAGATCCCATCCTGCAGTTGAAAGAACAGCCAAAAAGCCGGACATTGAACAGGGCTCAAACCTGGAGCCCTGGTCCACCATGTTGACCTTCGTAGGTCAACCAGGTGCCATCTCGAGCACCCGTCGTCCGGCGCATGGGGAGGATTCGGGCTATGTCCCCAAGTCGTGTTACCAAGGTATCCTTGAATGACCCACAGCCGAAGCACCATGTGGGGCACCGGGTTAGACGATGTTAGACGAAAAGCCCCTGTGACTCACCTGAAACACCACCCTTCCGCAGATCAACGAAATGAATGGGCCCCAATGAAGCCTGAAAGGACGTCCTTTTCGGACGTCTCCCAAAGCTCAAGATCAAGAGAATGGGCTCAAGATCTGGAGGGCCCCAATCTGACATCAACTCTGAAGCCTGAGGAGCACCAACTCTTCAGGTGTCCGATTTTCGGATGTTTTCAGGGTCTTCAGATTTCTGAAAGACAAAACTGTTTAGAAGGCCAGACAACAATCATGGAAGTCCCTAACCTACCAAATCTCTTATATGCTCAAATCATTCCATATCCTCTCAAACTGCTATTTATGATGATTATATATATGAGGATCTATCCCGCAAAGGAGCTGTCATCCAAAAACGGTATATCAATTGATCAAAAATTGTCCACCAAGGGATCCTGGCTTTGACCCAATGCCATATAGCTATAGGCTACAGCACTATAGACAAATGGTAAACCTCATCCTCCGAGCCCTTTGTTTGTGACAAGCACGGGGGCGCCACCCTTCTCCAAGCATCAAGCAATACTCCACATTCGCCTCCAGGAGCTTCTGAAACTCCGTGAAGAAATGCGAAAGACCTTGGTGATCTTGGTGCCGGCAACTCCTGGAGTTGCTGGCCGTGCCCGGACTGGAAGCGTGCTGAATCAGAAATTCAAAGAGAGTTCCTTTCGATGGACACGATGGGGAGACCGTTCAGACTGACCCACCAACTGTCTGCGCAGGAAGAGGGCCTATTCATGGCTGCTTCGCAGTGGAACTCCATTGGTCCCTCCAGCGACTTGAACATGCACACCAAAGGTGGGGGTTGGGCAGCTCTAACCCACTCGGATGCGGTGCCAAGGAGCTTCCCTCAAAGGGTTTCACTCCAGTTTCCACCAAGAGCGGGTGGATCTTCCGCTTGCTCCAGTCGTAAGAGTAGCCGGAGAGGCGCAAAGTCTCAACGAAGAGCATATCTGCAAAGACCATAGTTGTTGCTTCAGACATCATGCGATAGATGATGTACGTGCGCCTGAGGCAGTTGAAAGGCACACCGATCCACCCAACCCAGTGAACCAACAAGAAGTGCCGCACCACTCGATGTCCTTTGGCAGTGTTGCTCTGTCTTCACCGCCTGCCTGGCATTTGTCGAGGTGTTGCCGGTAAAGACCAAGTCTGGGATCAGGAAGTGCCCGAAGTCATGCGCGGTGAAAGTGATTTCATGGATTGCATCCTTCTTGGCTACGAATGGAATTCCTTGCTGCTTGACGGGGCATCCAAGAGTCAAGCAAATCCCTATAGAAGGAAATGCCAGTCCTAATCCAAGTGCGAAAAACGATATGATGATAGGACTACAACCTGCAGGTCCTCCTTTTCACTCCTTTTCGTCTCGCTTCGAGCATCCCCACAGCTGGTCCCTCCAAGCGTCCCGCATTGAGCCCGGGGAGCCAATAATTCAACTCGCGCCGCGACTGCGCCGAGCGGAAGAAGGCGCCATTGTTGGCCACGGCTACGAAGGCGCGGGTCAAACCACAACGTTTGGCCACCTGGTAAGGAACGCGAAAGGGACGCGGTAAGCGGGGACCCGGGGGGATCCTGGAGGAAAAAGGGTGTTAACTGGATGTTTTGGAGGGTTTTTGGGTGTGGGTTTTAGATGGTGGATGGACTGAGAAGATGTTGAAGAGATTGGAGGAATTTGAAGATGGACAGGACCAAAAGGACCATGTACTTGAGGTTGTTGAAGGTGTGAGGCATGAAGTTCTTCTCGAATATTCTTTGCCCTTGCTCCCCCCATCTAACATTTTTCGCGAGGAATCCTGCTCAGGACCATCTCATGCTTATATCAATGGAGGTACTGCTTACAGTAGAGAAGTCCACACCATCAGTACAGTACAGAAAACACAGTCTTGAAATGTGTTGTACAAGCATGAATGCCGCACGCACGCAATCAAGCATAGCATTAATACACCTCTTTTTTGGACCGGCTCCTCTCTTACATTCTTACTTGATGTTCCCACCCGTGGGCGTTTTGGGTGCCATCAGATTGCCTCGTTGTTGAAGTAGTCATTCTGGCTCACGAAAGAGGCCACCGACTCCGACTCACTAAAAGAAATGGTACTTGAGAAGGCCTTGGACATGTCCTGGGCCAAGCTGCCGAAAATAACGACATGTCCGAAGAAATGGGAAGCACTCACAATTGCCTGTGCCGCTGGCGAACGTTACGGCACTTTCTGCCGTGTCTTCAGGTCTCCAAAGGAGACTTCATTGCAAAGTACGTGGACAGCAGGCTAACAGCCTTGACATTCCTTGTATGGGCTCCATAATATGGCAGCACGACAATGGCCTCTTCATGGGTGGGGTCCCTTGTTCATGGCTCAAGCCATTGGAAGCCTTTCGCTACACCTGTTTGTAATCGACTGGCCGGCACAATTCCCGACCCACCGCGCGTCACTCAACTGCAACCGCCCCTTTCCTTGCTGAGACTCATTGATGAAATTGGTTGCTTTGCGCGTCTTGTAATGGACGTGATCAATTAGCCAGCGGTTCACGTTGAAATCTCGCGGGGAGAATTTCAGGTGCAACTGGAGCATATCCTTGATTGCAAGCAACCCAGCATGATCAAAGAGAAACCTTCAATCGCCTCATGTAGCGGCATGTGTATCTTCCAGGACCACATGTTGGATATATACTACTTGTGATGTGATCGACATCAAATCATTCCATGACACCGTTTGGAGCTTCAAAGGTGCCACACGTGCTCACAGCCACTAGCCGCACGAGCCGCACGACTTCTGACAAGAGTCGTGATAGGTCTTGCCTGTGCTGGTTAAAACCTCGGCGTCGCAAGCCCGTTTTCAAACTGAATTTCTAGTCTCATGGCCATGAGTCTCAATTAAATATACTATATATACCAACGACCAAAATTCTGGTAGTTTTGAATTGACCCGGTTTTCCGCGCAAACGGCCGGCCGCAAATCAGCGCAACCGACGAAACGACCGCAAATTAGCGCAAAACGCACGCAAAAAACCAGCAAGCGACCACAAAAATCCACAAAGTAACGCAAAACGACCAAAACGACCATAACACCAAAATAAACGAGCATATTTTTTTGGTAGTTGGAAGGTCCAGCTAACACTTGATGCAATTGATGCAACCTCGCTATAATATATATATATATATACATACACACTCATATTTCATATTATCTCTTAGCTGGAAGCCCAACAATTCAATGACCAGAATGCACCGTACCCCATCCACCCTTCCCAAAACTCTTCAAACCAGATCGGTGATGTTGCACATCGCCAGAACCAGAACCACCGTCCACCCGTTTGGACCACCGTCCACCCCCCCGGTGGAGCCACAAAACTGCCGGACCCAGGAGCCACCACGTCATCCCAGCCGAAAGCTCCCGCGGACGTCCTGCGCAGGTGATCCACATAGCCCTCCACCGCGCTGGAGTAGGTCGATGTCACCAGCGCGAGCCTCACGTCCACCGCTGGCAACGCAAGAGTCTTTGGGGATGCACCCTAAAGAAAAACACACTGCTAGCAGAATAGAAGTGAAGGATGCACATAAACACAGATGCAAATTCAGTACTGTAGATTCCGATATGAGTTGATGGTATTGGTGGCATTGGCGGGGAGAAGTCGCTGCCAAAAATTTACGATCAAAGAGGTTGTTGTGGGAGCAAATCCACTCCACAATAACACAGGTTTGTACAAATCCAAGTGTCTCTCTGCCTTCGGACGGCTTTGGGGGGCCCATGTAGCCATCCCCTGCAGCACCTACAGCACGGATACCGTGTTTTTTTGGGATCACAAGCGACCTTTATCCATCTTTACCCACAAATGCTGCATCAAGCACACAACCATTGTGGCAATTTTAATAGCAAGTGATAACGGTGATTCAGTGATAGTCCGATACCCTAGTACATCATAGTACATCATCATGCCACCCATCCAGGCACAATCAAGCGCCGCACCTGGAGTGGTATGAAGTGCGGTCGCTTGTTGGTGAAACTTGGCCTCCCGAATTTGAGCGGCCTCATCTTTGGGCAGCTCATAGGTGTCCTGACACCATCCAGGAGCGGAGGGTTTAGCTGCAGCAGGAGTGGGCAAGGAGATGGACAGGGTCGAGAATCGAGTCTAGGAGATGGACCAAACAGGCGGTGCCATGACAGAGTCTGACATGAAATGCTTCATAGGGCAGGATGGATCTTGGGCAATGAGATGGAAGTTCAACTGATGCATAGCTGCATACAGTAAGAAATTCAAGAAAGCCTCACCGCTGGAAAGTCAATTAAAATCATTGCTCTTCAATCTGTCTGTCTAGTGACTGTTTCTAAAAGCATTTCCAAATACGACCCATGACAGTCAATCTAAACAACTGCACCAGAGTCACGTCCCAAACAAGGGTTTGGCACAAAGCGCACCTACTGCAAGATTGGCGGATGATGCTCGAATATGCAGTCCAAAATCTCCACACCATTCCAGAAATGGACCCAATGTTTTGGGATACGCGGCACCGTGGCCGTGGCCGTCTTGCCTAACAGCTTCTGAAGCTGTCCAAGCTCGCCAGGACACCCACAGGCACCTCCTCGGTCCCGTTATGTCCAAGTCTCCAAGCGAGAAAAAAGGATCACCTCAGCACCGGATGCACCGGATCGCTCGACCCTTCGAATTGCTCATGGGCGACCGGTCGGATCAGAGCCGTTTTGGGTGCGAACGAAACGGCTCAAAGCGCCCCGCAAACCTGCAAAGAAACCCATGGGACTTGTGAGATCGCAACTGGCACTTCCTGGCTTTCAAGGAACAGGTGCAATTCTGGCGCAGGGAGGCCAGTCAACTTGGGAGTTTTGCAGCAACGACGCACCAATTTCACCTCCCAAGTTTGGGTGGGCAGAATCAGGAAAGCCTAAAATGGTTTTCTCAGTGTCTGTCTTCCTTCAACCTTAACCAAATGGTTGTTGGACTACAAAACACTCGCCGCCGCATCCGGCTGGCGCAGTGAAAAGCGAAATCCATGCTGCTTGGCATATCTATATCGTGCAAGAGCAGCCTGTAATAACGTGCAAATAACATGCAGCAACCACCCACTGGAAGCCAATGACGATCATAAAGAATGATGCGTATTGTCCACAATTCCAGCCCACCATGACGAGTCACACAAAATATCACAAACAATTCACACAATACAAAATACAAAGAGGCACAGCCTCTCCATCACGATCCAAGCTGCAGCCTCTCCATCCGGCAGTTCCTCTTGAAACTCTTTGAGGTCCGTCGGGGGCTCATGATCCTTCACGCTGCTCAGAAAGCCTGGCCAAGTGGGTCACATCATTCCACTGGATCTGAAGACACTGGGGAGGTGCTGGGCATGAGCGGCAGGGGGGCGGCCTGGGCATGGTGCAGTACAGTCCATTGCATCGCGTTGGGTCACGGACTTGGCTGACAGGTTTTCAGCCGGTAAAGCATTAAAACATATGAAAACACCTGAGTAATTCCATAGGAATCGGCTTCCATTACAATAACATCTCAGGGGTCCCCGGATGTCCCCGGGCCCCCCTGCAGGTGAATACTGGAGTCACTGGGGATGGGAGATGTGTGGGACTCGTGAGTCGCTCTTCTCCGTTCGCATCGACTTCGGCCGGCCGAAGCGAGGTGGCCGGTCGGATCGGGAGGCGCTTTTCGCAGTGCGGGCCTTCCAAACCACTGAGTGGTGCTCGGAACACTCGCATCTCCTCCTTGAAAACGGCCTTGTGCCAGAAGTCCTCGGAGAGAAGGCGAGGACAGATTGCCACACGAGGTTGAGGTGCAGTTCAGTTCTGAGAAAAACAACACTCGGCAAGGTAGAAACATCCGATCTTGACCAAACCAATTGTGGACCAAGCAAGTTTCCGGCTTCAGGTTTACACTTGGCTGGCTTGGTTGATGAGGAGGGGGTTCAATTGGGTATGCTATGGGGATGCCATGCATGATCAAGGACAAATGTGTTGCGTGCATGGGAACGCATGAGGTCCGCATCTATAAGTAGCAAGGCTTGAATAGAATTGTTTAAAGTATGGTGCAGGCTGTACGTACGCAACGAGGGAGTAACGAGGTATACAACCAACAGTTCTACCGTTATACATCGTCATACCTGTTGCAGACTCTTGTTACCTGGTATACCACCCACAGACTGCAGGACAAGTAGACTTTCACATCAAGGCTCCTCTCCTCGCTGGTGCAAGGTCTTCCAAATCGCCTCCTGGTGCGGACCGGTCGGTCGGCTCCTTTGGGCGTCGCTCCATCGGCTCGGGCCTGGGAGGTCGCTGCATGTGGGTCACGGACGCATTCGATGTCGTAGTTGGCCAAAGACTTGGCCAGCTCCCCCACCTGCAGCATTGGAGCTGACAGCGGAGCAGCTCCGCGGCATGCTCAACCGGAGACTGAGGAGTAACCTGAACCACTGGCAGTGGTTTAGGAGTCCAACTGCCCTTTTTGGGGGAGATCCAAATCGATAGAAAGATCCCCATGCACTAATCAGATATATTATATTGGAAACCGTTCCTACCTGTTTGCGGGTCACTATAATGATTGTCCACTCACAGGCGGGTGGTGTGGCATGAATAGCATGCATATAGTGCATATAATATGAGCCGAACCCATGGCTCCCGCAAGTCTGGCAATACCTGGCAATTCTCATGCATCTCTTTCGTGCTCCTACCAGGTACGTCGGAAGGGAACCGGAACCCAGGGAAAGTCAATTAATTACACGAGTAGGGCTACCATCTCAAGACGCTGCTAATTCGCCAGTCCTTCAGCTCATTGCTCGACGCCAAGACCACACGGCGACGCTGCGGCATTGCGAGAATGGCCCGCTGAGCAAACCCTGAACAGCTGAGCAAACCCGTCCATCTGAAGACTGTCAGTCTTTCACCATGATTTAGACTGGTCTTGACCCACCGATTTGTTGAATGATTTGTCATGCATGTCTACTAAACTCAAAGGTTCCCAAATCCCAGTCATCCTTCTTGAGCACACCACGACTCCGTGATGTGACGGCGAAGAAACGTTGTTTCATTGACCTGAAATCCCGGCAGAGTACGACCAACGAAGCTCTAAGCCTTGGAGGTGACCCACCTCGCTCCTTCGCGTCGCGAGCAACCGCAACCCACGGTCTCACGAACTTCGACCTGGAGAAGAATGTTTACAGAACACCAAGGGAGAAACACTCAAGAAATGTTTCAGAACACCAATAGGACTTAAGATATGTTTCAGAAGTGCCCAACGGAGAAACACTCAAGCAATGCCCATCCCTCTCTCCCGCTCCATGGCGGGCCCTTAGAAAGCTCGCCGGGCTGAGCCGGCTCGAAATGCTCGCCTCGAGCCTCGCCGGGCCTCTTTTTCAGACCGCTCTGCACAGGTCTGTCATCGCAACTTGTGACACGGCCCTCAGTTCCGTCAGCTCGCCTGAAGCACAAGCAGCTCCTCCACCCCATCCCAGTCGGTCAAGGGATGTGGTGCGTGAGGAGGCACCTCCAAACGCCTCCAAACGCCTTCCAGGAGGTGCTTAGGGATCTTACGGGGGAGCCGAGCCTCACTCGAGCTCCAAACCTTCACATTCATTTCCAAATCTTCCAACTGCCCAGGGCCACTGCCCAGGGTGCCGGCTTTTTTTAAAGCAGGCCTGGAGCAGCACGTCGATCTCCTGGTGAGTGAGCAATCCTCGCCGTGCCTGGGAAAATTAGGTTTGAAAAAGGATCTGGGTACAGTAGTCTACACCAAGCGCCGTGAACATCCTAGGAACACCTCCACTGCTAGATGGTGGCCATTGCTAGCCCATGGTGGAACAAAAAGCAGATTGTACGCCCAGGTGACCAACACTGGCCAGTACCATTGATGAACTCTGTAAATAATTTCCGAACCATGGTTGCAGCGCCCATCTTCATACTTGCAGAAAGTTCGGCCTCTCTTATCATGAAAATGCTGGTCTGCTTGTGCCCGGCCGACATTGGAACAAGGATAATGTGACAGAGTTGGGTTCTCCGGATCCTACTATAATAATATCTGCAAACAATAGAGTTGAATAATAAGTATATACGCAATGAGTTGCAATTAAACATTTATATAGATTATATATAGTTCATATATAAATACCTATAAAATCCTATATAAATATAAATGTTATATTCACACCGCCCTTCTCCGGCAAGTCACCTCCACGAAATCGCGGACCAGTGGTGTCACCTTGGCCTGGAGACGGTCGGACACCGGCGGCCGGACCTACCTCCAAGCTGCACTCGGCGGCGCTCAAAGCTGCGGAATGATCTCCCATTTTCAGAGCTGGTCGGTGACCGAAACAGGATTCAGCCATGTGCTGGTTCTCCACATCGATGATTTGCCGAAAAAACACGTTTACCGTTTACGTTCCAATGGGCATCGGCGATGTCTGGAGCAATGCACTGGCCTCCCTTCAAGGCCCGCAACTTTCAGACGTTGTGACTTCACCCAGATTTCGCCCCCCCCCCAAAGGGCGGTGACGGTGATGATTTTTTTGTCCGTTCTTCGTTGGTGTTTAGGGCATTCTCTTGGGCGCAACTGTGCTTGGAGTATGAGTACTGCAGCAACTGCAGCCCTTCAAGTTCTGGAAGTCCATCACATCGTAGAAATTGAAGCCTGAAAATGGAATAATGCTGCCACCTCTTCAAGATCCCTCAGGAACACTCACTGAATTATCCATAATTCAATGAGTGGCTTAGGGCACAAAGAAGGACTGAGAATTGAAATGCTGAAAGGGAGCAGCTGTCCGCAAAAAGGCCCCTGCCACTGAAGCAAGGCTCAGAAAATCGACTGCGCCACCCACGGTGCCCCATCAGATGAGTTGTGTTGATTGTCGCCCTCTCAAAGCACACAGTTCACAAGTCGGAGCCGGCTATTCCAACTGATGGGGCCAAATGGAAATCAAGGCGCGCTTATAAATGGATAGAGCTGGCAGCGAAAGAAGCTGAGTCGGGTGAAGGTGTCGTTTCACACGAGTGAGCCGTGATCTGGTTCGACCAATATCCGACGAACGGAACGAGGCAGGACAAACTGTCATCATATCAGCAACGTATATTTAACTAAACTACCTCCCTGAGGGTCCCTCCTCGCACGGTGTCAAAGAGTCAAACCCTGTTCGAAGGCAAGCGAACATGCCACAAATCTGCTCACTGCATTTCACACGCAAACAAACCAACAAACAAACAAGCAAACACACACACTTTGACATTGGGCTTTCAGTTAACTCAAGTCCCCGAGAAAAGGAATGGCTCAACGGCAGGGTGAAGCGTCCGATCACTTGAAGGTGTTTGAAAAAGGTGTTTCTCGTGATGCATGACTGCAGAAAATTAGTAATTACATGTAATTACTGATTACTTAGCAGACCGAATTAACGCCGTGCATGGAAACCTGGTTTGGGGGACGTATCATGAAAACCACCATGAAAGCAAAAAAAGAGAGTAGAACAGCTTGGACAACAGTTGATCGCAGGTACGTTTGCACCCAGGTGGGGGGTGTCTTCGTTGGCCGGAGACCCCCCACCTGGCTCCGGCCCCCTGCGTGTAAAAACTCTTGGAAACAGAGTGTGACACACTCTGACAATTGTATTCAGTTAACTCAGTTACCACGATGGGAAGGATGGCGGTGGAACAGCAAGGCGAAAGGGTCCGGGTCCGGTGACTTGAATTTTTGAAAATTGTTTCAGTCGCGCGGCTGAAATGCAATGCATAGGTTGCTGAAAGGTGCGGTGGGAAAACTGTTTAGGGGAAGAAAGACATGAAACACCATGAAAACAAACCAAAGGAGTGGACAGCGTGATCAACAGTTCCTTCGCAGGTACACGGTCAGACGTCTCTGACCGCATCCACCCAGCAAGCATAGCTTTGTTAGCCAGCGTTTGCTTGTCGGCCGCTGGCCCCCTGCCTGTGAGTCAGTGGTTAAAAAGTGACAGTGGTAGTGGCGGTAGGAAACCCTTTGTCCAGGGGTGGACACACACACACACACGAACGATCGCCGAGTCGGAAACGGGAACCAAACAATCGTGCGAGGCCTCACGACAACCCAGCCGCCCCCAAAATATCGTGTATTCATGTTGGATGGCAGCTGCTAGGACAAATCTGACACCTTGCCAGGTGCTTGTTGAAACTGCGGCCTCCCTATCAGGCATTCGTTCAATGGTCCATTCAACTGCAATGAGTTGTCCATGCTTTCCCTGCACATCAGTTGCAGGAAAATCCCGTCTTCTGTGAGGTATACCGGGTCCACACAGCTGAAAATATCCCAGGTCCACACAGCTGAAAAGAGCTATCCCGGTCTTGCATGGGCAGCTTTCCGCAATCTACATAACGTAGCGCACCCGCACGCGAATTTTCCAAAGCATCCACCATTAGCAGGCTTACGTTTGGTTGAGATCGTTGATCACTCAACTCTTGTTTGAAAACACAATTACTTTTCCAAAACCTCCAATATGTTTGCATAGGAGGAGAGGGGCACGAGCCCTTGCAAGAATTGTATGCATGTTTTGGTGTCCGCTGGTTCATGTTGAAGGGGTCGGAATGAATGGGTAGGAATGTCAACAGCATTTCAACAACGATCTAGGCCAAAGGATCAGTTGCTCGCGGTGCCTGACATCTTCACCCGGTGCCGGTATTTTTGGCTTCTCTCTCCCAGGATATATCTTAAGGGAAACGTCTTTTGATCCCTCCCTCTTTGACCTTTAGTCACTGGTCACTGTATATATAAGTATATATAATGATGTATAATGCACATTGAATTGAAAAACAACCAGTACAAGCTAGCATTACACGCGCACCCACTCAGCTGATCTATCTGTGCCCGCCTAAGCGCAAAGCCGCTCAAATCACAGCTTTCAACTGCAAGAGCGCGATCTGCAGCTTTTTGGTCTGAGCGTGTCTCGGCCATGATTGCACCGCTTCAACTTGCGTTGTATCGGTTGCCTCCAAGCAACTCAAGCGACTTGAGGCATCGGCATCGCGGGTGCAAGTGGCCCAAAAGACTTGGGGGCAAAGCCGGCATGGCCACGGCGAAGCCGAAAAATCATCGAAGGGACCATCTGCCATTACAGCACACAAGAATGCAACAAATGGTTGAAACATGTTGAAACGCCACCCACTATCCCCTCAGATAATTATGCTCTGTTCACTCCAGCACTGTTAACAGGCCAAGCCGAATGAGTCCAAATCGCCTGTGGCATACATCAGGGTCGGTGGAATCTTGTTGCGCTTCACATGCCAAGCTGGCATCGACGAAGGGTCGGACTTCAGTTGCAGTAAGACTACTTGAGTCTGAGGTAGACCTCAGGACCGAGTGTGTGCGTCTCTTTTTCTTGCACCTACCCGGACAGAATCGATGCCTGGCATGCTTGCAATTCTCAGATCTAATCATACTGAATAAAGTATATATGATAATTAGACTCCCTCTTTCCCTTTCTAGTATGTCTTGCCGAGTCGGCACCTTTATTCAGTGTGGTTGTTCAATGTTGTTCAGTTCCTTGTGTGAATAAGACCCTTCCAGGTGAACGATATTTAAAAAAAGGGTGAACCTCTGTCACTGCAGGATCAGGTGCTGTGTGAGCCCATGCAAAGCAATACTTTCGCAGTACCCCATTTTTTACAGTTTCCAATGTGAATCCGTCCTGAAATACTATATAATGGCTGTGGCCACTGCCAACTACGCTCATGCGGGAAACGGTGATTGCTCAACCCACAGTTTTCAACTGCAGGGACCATTGCGTTCGGTCTAGAGTCTGGGCCACTGTTGAAGTTGCGCAACGCGTTTTGAACGTGACAATGTGACTGCAGTCGGTTCGGCCACTTGTGGCTCAGCGGAACAATGGCCCAAATAAAATCAAATAAAAATAAAGAGTTCTGCATGGCAATCGCATAACGGAACCCCCAAAACTGTCATTCAAGCATTCTTTCAAGTTGCTGAAGCACCAATGGCAACACTCTGCCCAGGGACGTGCTGATCTGCTGAATTTAAGTGCAAAGAAATTTAAAAAATGTGAATTCACACTAGTTCATTGGTTTCAATCGTTTTGCTTTGCTTGTGTGACGGTGGGTGTCACATGGGCTGGGCTTCACATGCGCTGGCAGTCAATACTTCAAGAGATGATCCTGGACGGCGCAAACTGTAGGCAACTGGTAAATTAAAACAATCACGGCCTCAATGTCTCAATCGTTTCAGGGGCGATCAATGTTTTGAAAGGGGCAAAAAGTAATTGATAGATCAAGATCAAACAAGTATTGTATACATAAGGCGATTTTGGTGCAGCATCGGTCGGAAGAACTAAAGATTGTTGTGGCAGCGAAAGATCTTTGTCATTTTAGCGTTGGACCGTCATTTGTCTATCAATAGCGAAAAACCGCACTTGATGGCGAACACATGCGAAAAGTCTTCGCGAAAATCGTGTACCCAGGGCCTGTTGGTTATCAGCATGCTCCAACGAATTTGGGACATGTCTGGAAGCACAATCGAATTCACCACATCTCCAAAAATCATTGATGTTTCAACAATACAAAATGCAGCACCCAAGCCGAAGCCGAAGCCGATGCAGACCGAACCGATCCGATCGCAAACGCCGCAAATCGAAAAACCGAACCGAAGTGACGCCGCATCGAACCGATACCCAACCGAGAAAAACACACAAACCGACCGCCGACACCGAACCGATTGCGCGGCTGCCACACCAAGACCATTTTTCAACAACCTTGACTAGAAACTTTTCGGGCAGGTAGTTTTGATAATGCACCAACTTCGTGCAGGCAAACCTTGCTGATTGCTTTTCCACACGCGCACACTCTGACACTTGTATTCAGTGACTCAGTTCCCACGTTGAGAAGGAAGGTGAAGGAACGGAAAGGTGGCAAAGTCCGCTGAAAAGTATTGTTGAACAATGTTTCCGACAGCTTGCAAGTGGAAGCGGCGTCCAGTAGCTGCAGTGCGGTGGGAAACCTGTTTATGGGGAAAGTAGCATGAGAAACAACCATGAAAGCAAAAAACAGCGGCGAGGGGAACCAGTGGAGTCAGTGTGTTCAGCGCAGGTACATCCAGAAGGCGTCCCTTCCGGATATCAGCCACATTGCAGCCCTCTTCGTTGGGCAATCAACTGCAATGTGGGATTGCCCCCCTGCATGTGAAAGGTGGTGGAAAATCTGTGAAGGAAGTGGCGGTGGAAAACCCTTTGTCGAACCCTT